GTGTCAAGAGCTTGATGGGTACTTCAGTGCACTTTCAATAGACAGGCGCCTCTGGGGATGATTGGATGCACCGTTTCAAAGAGTTTTACAGCCCTCTCTCAATTTTCCCTACTGCCACAGTGCCACAGGAGCTTTACTTGTCGTTGTGAACTGGTATCCCAAGAAGTCAAAATAGCAAATCCCGCCTAACACGCATTACGCATCTTGCCTGTTAGCTGTCCACAATGCCTGGGCGCACAGGGTGCTTGGCTGTGCCCTTCCTACACATGCAAAATACTTCGTACACATTTATATATTTAAAAAATCACAAAATTGGCTTCTAGCCTGATGTAGATACTAGGATTTATTAGAGTGACGGGACAAATTCTATGCATGCTGTTCTTTCTCTAAGCTTTTCCTGAGTATGCATCAGTAAAATTTTAAGCACTGCGTAACTTTGAAATTAAGAGCCTATCTAAAAACAATTGGGGAATATGCGTTATGAACACATATAGAGTAAATTTACCAATCATGCTCAGGAGCAAAAAATAAATTTGTTTTTTCCTATTTTCCCAGTTTTCTCCTATAGTAGAATTTGAACAAAGCTAATTATTTCTTTTATGGGGAAAGGGAGCATATAAAGACTTTAAATGTCATCAATGTGGTATCAGAAACAGTGGAGATTTTTTTTTTTTTTTTTTTTTTTTTTTTTTAAGATCAGTCTTAAAAGGGCAAAAGACCTTTTAAAAGAAAATCAATATGGAAAGAACGGGTAGTCCGAGTGACAATGCATTTAAAGTTCAAGCAAAACCAACTTGTCATCAGGCTCATATTCTAACAAGTCCCATCGGGGTCATCTTCACCTGGCTTCTTTGTCTCACGAGGATTCCAACTAGAAGCAGGTGACGATATAATGAACAGGTCATAGGAAGGCCCACTTGTGCTTGAAACTTGAGCATTTGGTGTTGTTCCCGGGACCTTCGAGACACTGATTTCCAACAAAGCGTTTTATCTCTCACTCTCTAACAGGTTCGGATTGTGCCTCTTCAAATCGGATGTGTGACAATCTCAGTCGCTCTGGTATTTGAGTCGCCCTGGCTTGTTCTCATCATTGTCTTTTTATACACCTGAACCTCGTCTCTGTAATTGGGTTGCCTTCCGGATGTACTACCTTTGGGATTAATTTTTCCAGCAAGACCTAGCAAGTCATTTTCTGGCAGCCACGGAAGTTGCCAACGATGAGTCTTGACCTGGTGTTCTGAATTCTCAAGAGAGCCTTAAAAACGGCTGCTTTCTTCTCGTTACTATTAAGCACGTTACACCTGCTTTGTGTTTTGACCCAGGAAAAGAGAGTCCCTTGCTTAAATCCATCTTTGTTTCCTCTTAGTAGAGTACTTTGTGATAGGGTGACTACCAGGGACGGGTACGAGCCTGCCAACAAACTGGCTCTGATTATTCACAAAACGTACTGCATTCACTAATGTCTCCATAGTAATTAGTACCTTAGTGAGTGAGTGAGTGTGTGTGAGTGAGTGTGTGTGTGTGTGTGCGTGTGTCCACTTGCAGCACTACATTTTCAACTCTTGCAGATCGAGATTTAAAATAGTATAACAAAGGAAAAAATGAAAAATCACATTATTAATGAAAGTTGCACTTTTTCTCTGGAAAAGCTTACAGGAACCCTTAACATTCTCTCAATATTTGAATACTTACAGACATTAAAAGTTTGTATCTACTGCACAATTCATGAAACTTCTTGACCTTTAAAGAAAAAAATGAGAAGCGATCCCTAAGATGCAGTTCCATAAATTAATTATGGGCCATTCCTTTATTTGCAGGTTGTTCAGGGTTTCATAGCAGCTTCTCTTTAAGCTTTCAGAAAGTTGAAACATTTTATCTAGATGTTGTAAGTGAAATAGAGGTGTTTGCTGGAAAAATCTGGATGGATGTTATTTACTAGATGTTTGTTCAGTTTCTGTGGAATCGAACTACCAGGAGGGCAGTTGGACACCCTGTCCTCTTGCATCTGATAAGATTATTTTATGTGTTTTTGTATTTAGTACAGGGTCTACAGGGTCTCACTCTACAGACTGGATTCATAGCGATCCTCCTACTTTTAGCCTCCCAAGAGCTGGGATTAACAGTTGCGCGCCACCACACCCAGTCTCAATTTTAGTCTCAGCATGCCCAGGGGGCAGCGCTGGCACAGCATGCTGGGGATCCAGCTCCCACCCTTGTGTCTGCCTAAACAGGCATTTTAATCCCCGGAGCTGTCTGGCTGGCCCAATCTGATAAGATTACAATGAATGTTTGTAGAGGCACTGTCCAGATCTTTCTGTAAGTTGGAAAGGAGGATTGTGCATCACCAGTCTTCAGGAGAGAGTATTTTACACCATGTACCAAGAAACTTTCTTGCAGTTCGCGTACCCCTTCCTGACTGACTATCAGTATCATCACCCAATAGTGGTCAGTTATTTACACCCGTGTCCCACCTATCCTAGCATGCATTAAGAGATACTGTATTTGGTGTCTAAGTTTCTACACTTCCATACACTTTTTATTATGTAGCATGCTTAAAATTAGATGATAAGGCTGGGGAGATAGCTCGGCAGTCTAAACACCTGCCTGGCAAGCACAAGGACCTGGGTTTAGTTCCCAGTACTACCAAGTGCCGGGCCAGCCCCCACGCCTGGGTGTGCTGTGTCAGGCACTGAAACTGAGGTGCAGTGGTGCACGCCTGCAATCCCAGTGCTGGGGAGGCTGAAAATAGGAGGATCACTGAATCTGAGCTGCATAAATGAAAAATTAAAAGGAAAGATTAAAAAAATTTATTATGACAAGTCCAAAATTGTATTTTAATATTAAAATTTTCTATAATATAGGAAAGGGAGGATATTTTTTAAAAGCTAAGAACAAAGGTTAGAAATAAAGGATAGATTTGAAATTTTTAAAAAGTTAGTACCTCAAAATCATTATGAACAAAATGAAAAGGTAAATTAAATTGAGAAATATTTGTAATAGATGAAAGAAAGTATATGTGTTTAATGATAAAAATTCCTTTCAGATCAATATGAGAAACAGACTTTAACTGAAAAGAGAAAAATGAAGGCCAAGGTCATGAATAAGAAACTCACTGTAGTGCATGCTGTACATTTATATGAAAAACTGCCCAATTATGCTAGCAAATAAATGCATTTGAAAACAGGCTGTGCTTATCAGATTGCCTGAGTTCTTTAAACACCTTTCTCAGTATTATAAATGTGGAAAATAAACATTCTCATACACTGCAGATGGAAGTGTAAATCGATGTAGCTTATCTAGAGCTCAAATTGGTAGTGTGTATTAAGTGTGGCCCTAAAAATTGTACTTCTAAGAATTTGTCTTTGGGGAACAGTCATAGATGTACATGAGATACAAATGTGAGAAAACACCCTAAGAATACTTCAAATGGTTAAATAGTGAAAGAGAATCCTCATAGCACCAGCTCCAGGAAAGATGAGGCTGTTTTAGGGGGTCATTGATCCCCTCAAATCTATAATGTTTGGCACCAATGGCTACTAGCACCCTAGGGGCTCTCTGACCTTCTCTGGTCTTTGCCATGTCATTCCTTCTCGGAGTCCCTCATTTCCAGAAAGGAAACTGCAATTTAGCCAAATTATCTCTATGTTTTGCTGTCGTTAGGGTGAATGCTGAAGATGAATACTTAATGACTGGGAAGATGTTTATGAGTGAAAAAACAGGAAGTAGGATTTTGTGTAATCAAGTTTTTATAAATATGTAACCATTTGAGGAAACATCTAGAAAAATGCTCTTCAAAATAAAAGTCACATCTCTTATGGTCGATTTGCAGGGGCATTTTTAAAAATGGATGTTTCCCAAATTTTCTGTTTTGAACACATTTGATGGTTATGGGGATCAAACTTGGAACCTTGAACTTGTGATGCAGGCACTTATGCCCCTGAGCTATCTCCCTGGCCCAGAACACTTTTTTAAAAATCTACTGAAGAATGAGATGCACCTAGAGGAGTATACATCTTGCAGACACACAGATCGGCAAGGTCCCGCAAGCCGAGCACCTCTGTATACACAGCATGAGTCCTCGACCAAGTCTGGGCTCAGCCCAGGTTGACAGCCTGCTCTCAGATCTCTTTCAGGGTGACCACCAGCTCACTTCTAAGTGCATGGGTAATGGGTTAGTGTCATATGTTTTCATACTTTCTTTAAATGAGTGAAATTGTACAATTTGTAACATGGTGGCCTGGCTACTTTTGTTCAGCATTATTCTTGAGTTTCAACCGTATTACCTCAAGAAGTTGTAAAACATTTCCTTCTTTTTTCTGAATGTTATTCTATGGTAGGGATCAACATACTGGCTTAATATATTACGGTTGATGCACTTATCTATTCTACCGCTGATAGGTATTTGGGTACTTTTCAGTGTGAAACTGTTGTGGCATGTTCTCCGAACATTCTGGTTAATGTGTATATATTTAGAAGGCATGTCTCAATAACTCTATTGGGTATACATTGAAGAATAACATTACCTGGCCCTAGCCAATTACATAACCTCAGTTGCAATTAATATTGCAGTTTTCCAAAATGGTTTTACCAGGTGATGCTTCCACAGCTGTGTGCAAATTTGTTTTCATCAAATACTTCATATTTTCAGTCAGCTTTCATTTAACCATTCTGGTGATATTAGCAGCATCCCATTGCAATTGTAATTTGTGTTTCCCCAAAGACTAAGGATGCTGAGTGCCTTTCTTTGTGGATACTGAGTTCTTGGTGGTGTCTGAGAGGCTGAGGCCTGGGGTGGGCTTGCCTGTTTCTGGGTTGCTGGCTTACCCTTTCTCTGGTTTCTGTCCCTGGTTTCCTGGGCCCTACCTGTAACTTCCAGGTTGGGTTTCGTCTTCCAGGTGGGAGGGAGGGGATCTAGGGAGCCCATCCCAGGAGCCTGGCCTGTGCAGCCTGGGCTCCTCCCCTCAGGCTTTGGACCCATGCCCAAGATTGTGCATTCGCTGGGTAAAATCTGTGGGGAAGCTGCAGACCAGCAGCAGCCCTGCTCCCCTTTTCACCACTCTGGATAACTGATCTAGAGGATCTGTGCTTTTAGGTTAGTTTTCTGTATCTTGGTATGTTTGCCTCCCCCCATGTGAGGACATCTACATTATCCAGCGTTTCTCCTCCAAGCTTTTCCTGTGCTCTCCCTCAATCAGCCACGTTGGCATCTCTTATTGCAATACCTTGCACTTGTAACAAGAAGCATACATTTTTCCTTCTACTGTTAGAGCTTATTTGTTGTAGGCATATAAGAGTATTTTCAGCCCTAGTGTTGAAATATATAGTTGAAATTTATATTTTGGTTTTAAGAATAAAATACTTTCCTTGTTCTTGTTATTAACTTTTTTATGCTATTTGTGTATGGTGGTTACTTGGATTACTTCAAAGATGATTAGAACAAGAATAGACATTGACCTATGTAGTCACTGTTGGGCTTTTTGAAGGCTAAGGACAAATTCATTAGCAGGTTTGGTTAAAACTGAATTTCAGCTGAATTAAAATAGGGCTTATTTTGTGAAGGATTTATAAAACACCTTTTAAGGGCTAGACATCTTGCTGACTTTAGATCTTAATAATGAATAAGAATAACAAATTTGTTTTCTTTATATTTAGGTAACTTAAATCTTCCAGCCTATTTACCTAATTCAAAATAGTGCAAGTCTCTATTGTATCCTACTTGATAGAGGAATTCCATTAATTTGTCAACTTGCACATTTGGACTTTATTGGACCCCTGCAATATCCCAAGACAACTGTGCCTGACCTCCTGCCCAGATGCCTAGCTCTGGGCCCCGCTGCCCTCCTGCTGGCCAGTAGCACCCTGCAGCTCTTTGCTGCTGCTGCCCCGCGCATGCCTTCAGCCCAGCTGCCTCTCCGGACTCTTGCACAGTGTCCCACAGTAGCAGGAAGATCAGCCAGCATCAGTGCATGATTCCAGTGGCAGACTGGAGATTTTAAAGAAAGGGATACAAGTATACAAGTGGGGAGCTCCACAACTAACACAGAGGTGACCCAAGTTCA